CTCCAAACAAATTCCCAATTTAACATAATAAAAGTAACTTATGTTTGTGAGTCTTCACTGTGTGCCAACCACTTTCCGTATGATAGTCAATGCCCACAATAGCCCTCAGGGATAGGTCCATTCTATGGACCGGGGACTGTGCCACAGAGAGGTTAAGTGACTTGCACAAGGTCCCTGGCAGAGCTGGGATCTGAACAGGGAGTGCAGAGCATGCGCGCTGCATTGTTCACAAGTGCTCTTCAGAGCACAGTGCCCAGTATACACTTGGGACTCGACACATTTGTTAATCGAGTGAATTACTGAATAAACTAATGAATGAAACAAACACGGCCATTCCTTTACCCGTCTCACTGTAGGCCTTCAGTTACTAACAGGCTTATTTTGGTAGCACCATCTGAAATTACCTGAACTGTTCCGTCCTCACCGCCGTCTTCATTCTTTCCAGGCAAGAATCGTGCGATTGCCGTGTTTGCGTTCTCGACTGTGGCTGCACGTGGTGGCGTGTGTCTGTTATTACAGGGCTTGGGAGGGCGAGGCTAGAAAGTTGCTTGGGCCGTGGTGTGCGATGCTCACGGTTTAGCATCTGCATGGTTTGTTTACTTATTTACTTATTTATTCATTTTTAAATTGAACTTATTGGGGTTACATGGGTTAGTAAAATTATGTAGGTTTCAAGTGTACAATTCTATAACACATTATCTGTATACTGTACGTTCACCACCCAAAGTCAAGTCCCCCTTCTTCGCAGTTACCCCCCAATTCCCCTCTTCTGCCTGCGCCCACCCCCTCTCCCTCTGGTAATCACCGCACTGCGGTCTGTGTCTGCGAGGTCTTTCATCCTCTTAATCCCCTCACCTGTTCCACACGGCCCCGGCCCAGTGTGTGTCCTCTGACAGCCGTTCTCTGTGTCTGGGAGTCTGTTTCTGTTTTGTTTGTTTTGTTCATCCGATTCCATGTGTAAGTGAAATCTACGGTGTTTGTCTTTCTCTGGCCAGCTTATTCCAGGGAGCATACCACGCTCTCGAAGTTTCCTGAGCACTCAGTGCCCGCCTTATGTCTGCTCTCTGCTAGAGGCCTGGGGGTACAGTGGCGATGAGACGAGACGAGGCTTCTGACGTTGCTGAATGTGCGTCTAGTGGGGTGGAGGGCAGCAGAGGGGCAGCTACCGTGTTATGGGGAGCGTGGAGTGCAGTGGGGGATCATTGGTCCCTTCTCAGGGTCCCTGTGAGTCCCTAACGATCCCTCGCCTCCAGTTGAGATTGCCCTTATAGCAGTAAGACTGATCTTCCTCGACTGTAGAGCTAACCAGACAGATACTCCCTGCTTTGTAAATCTTTGCCTGCTATCTGTTGCCCTTGGGATGGAATCCAAATTCCTTTCATGTGTTTTACAAAAACAGACCCTTAATGATCTCCAGACTGTCCCCACCTTGTGCGCTCTCATAGCTACTTCCCATTGTAAGGAAGTTCAGAAGCAAAAACTTGAACTTTTCCTCATGCTTTTTAGTTTTTATTTTTCCCTGAAACTGCATTGTAGTGCAATTTTGCTTTTTATTATTTTGAACTATTTTTTAAGGGAGAGAAAAAATGGACCAAGTTAATATAAAGGATATAGTTTTAAAAAGCGCACTTAAGAATTAGTATCTAGCAAATGCCCATAAGAATGCATGGGGAAAGGAGGATACACAGTAACTGCAAAGTGTTCCTGTTTAACCCCCAAATACCTCTAAGATTCTTATTTTATCAATGTTGATAACCTTCAGTCAGTATACAACGTACTTTAAAATACATACGATAGTCTGAAATAAGGCAGGTATTGCAGTGGTTTTGTTATAAAATGTGTTTGTTAACAAGTATTTCTGGTATTATTTCATGATCTGACCCTCTCATAAAGTGCTTATTTCCACATACGGTCACTTCATTTTTCGCTAGTGGGCACTCTATAAAAAGTAATGTTTTCTAGAGCACCTGCTGAACACGATAGTTCTGTGAAAATAAATGTATTATTGCTAATATTTTTATCCAAGCTTGCCAAAATTGCAAATGCCTTATTGAAAACCTATATATCAATTTTAGCTTTATTTAATAGTTTTAGATAATACTACTGATTTTGAATTGGATGTAACCATGGATTAGATAGAATTACTTGGATTATCAACTAGGCAGTTTCTCATATGTGTTAAAGTTATAGTTTAAACATGGTCTGTGGCAAGAAATTGATTATCTCCAGAGCACAATTATGAATTATAGCTTTACTTACATTTCTATTAACATGACTAGTCAAGAGTTAAGTTTAAATAAGATAAGTTCCCTTCATCTTGTCTGATGAAGGGAAACTGAGTATGGGTCTTTAAAACCATTTTTTAGACCGCAGTGAACACATTTTTCACGTGTGGTGGCCACAGTCAGCACAGTGCTTTTTAAAAACAGAAGTGATGAGTCCTTACAGTAGAGAACGGGAGGCCAAACCCTGACCCATGACCGCAGAAGCATGTTTCAGAGGGGATTTCTTCACTCGTTGAAAGGGCCAAATGGCATCTAAATTCTCTTTCAGCTCTCGATTCTGTGGTTTTTAATTGATTTTTAGTTTGCTACTAACCTAAATGTGCCATCAGCCAAATAGTTCATGGAAGTTTCTCAAACTTTGTATAAAATCTCAATCTGTCATGTGTTACTAAGAATTAAGGAAGACACAATGGACTCCAGTTAGTACTGTCAGCGGCAACGTGGCACCCGAATGTTACTGAGGACTGGGCCTTGGTTCAGCCACCTCGGTCCCGGATTTCTGGCTCCAAGGGAATTCAGGGCGAAGACTCCAACCCGAGCGAGCGAAGTCCATTTAGAAAGGCACAGAGGCAGGGAGCGTGAGCCGCGGGAGAAGTGAGCAGACAGTACGTAAGGCAGGGAACAGAGGTGGCGAGCAAGCCTGTGGGTCGTTACTCAGACTCATTCATAATGCAAGAAGTGTAGCGTTAAATGACACCTATTTTTACTTGCTAAATCAGCAGAAGTTACTCACTGCCATGAAAAATTAATACCAATAATTGTGATATCTTTCTTTGGTACTATTAAAAATGGGAGGTTATATAGATTATGTTGCAACCTGGAAAAATATAATACTTGAGTGAAGTCATTAGGAGTTGTGGTTTTCAAACCAGGTAGGTGGGGTGGTGGCTGAGAGAGAGCAGGACCCCACAAGCAGAAGAATCTGGGTCAGCCCAGCTCTACTACTGAGTAACTTGGTGGTCCTGGCCTTCCCGAACTTGGGTGGTTTTCTTCTGTCCCTAAAATGAGATTCTGCTCTGGTTGTAAACGCAGACTCAGCACCTGACACAGAACCTGATACAGCGTTTATTCAGTGAGTGTTTCTTGAATGAATGAATGTGGCCATTAAGTGCTTTAGATCAAAGGTTGTGTATGAAGGAAGATTAGAGGAAAATACAGCAAAATGATAATGCCTATGTTAGGGTAAAGAGGATATGAGTTAATTGACATTTTCCCCATTTTCTGTAATTTGATAGAATTTATAATTAAAAGAATAATCTAAACTCATTTTTAATCTTTCTCTTTTGGGTGTCCTATTATACTTACTATTTGAAGAACCAATCTTGGGACTTGATTAATTTTTAAGAATTCAAACACCTTAGAGTCAACCTCAACCCTTTTCTTTCTCTCTCCACCTTACTCTGTCCACCTTATATCAAATCTATCGACAAGTCTTCCTGGCTCTGCCCTTCAGAATATGTATCAGAAATTCTGTCATTTGTCAGCACCTCCACTGGTACCCCCTGGTTCGAGCCACCGTCGGTCTCTCACCTGGAATACCGCGGTAGCCTCCTAGCTGGTGTCCTTGATTCCACTCTGGTTCCTTCCCAGCGTATCCTCAACACAACGGCCAGCGCGAGGATAAGCCAGGCCACGTCGCATCACTGCTGAGAGCCCTGCAGTGGCTTCTCATGTCATTGGAGGTAAAAGACAAAATCCCTAACGTAGCCCACAGAGCTCTTACAGCCTCTGTCCTCCGTCCCCAAGCTCACATCCTCCCTTCCTCATTTCTCACCATTCTGCTCTTCTGCTCTCTCTGCCTGAAAACCCTTCCTGCAGGTATTTAAAGGGTGGGCTCTTTCCTCCACTTCAGGGCTGCACAGATGTCCCCTTCCCATGGAGCAGGCCTTCCCAGACCATCGCAGCACCCTTTTCCTCCACCGACACCCCCAGCACTCCTCCGGCCCCTTCTCGGTGTTATTTTCCTGGCACCGTGTGACTTACTCCGTGTCTTTTACCAGGTGTGCGTAAGTGTATGTATCTCCCCCAATAAGAAATCCCATGGAGGTGGGATTTTTGTCTATTTTGCTACTTGCTGTAACCTTAGCACCTAGAATAGCATCTGGCACATAGTAGGGCCTCAATAAATATTTATTAAATAGATGAGTTTTTAATTGCTTCATATACGTATGTCTCAGTCTCAAATTAGTTTGAAAGCTCTTTGAGGGAGTATCTGTCACATGTAGCTCTGGTATGCCCCCTCCCCGCCCCCCGAACTTGGCCCTCCTCAAGGGTAGAAAAGGCCAGGCAGGTGGGCACCCTAGTGCACTGCAGTCAGCGTCGGTGGCACTGGATTCTCCGGCCTCTCCGGCTAGCCCTCGGCCCAAACCGCTCGAGGCAGAGGACAGGCCATGCTGGAAACGTTCTGTATCTTGATCCGGGCAGGAGCCCCATGACTGAATACACGTGTGAAAACTCACGCAGCTGTGTGTTTAAGATTAGTGCGCCTTTGGTACTAACTTGGATGTGTATTATGACTCAATAAAAAGGTTTTAAAAAAGTTTGTTCCATCCTTTGATGTCGCCAGAGGAAGTTACACGTGCTAAATGATACATCAAGACAATGAGGAAAGAGTTCTGCGTGTTCTTCCTCATTGAGAATTTCTCTAGTTTATTGAAATTTTTTGTGTTGAATTTAAAATTAAAGTAAAATTATTATTTCCTTTGTCTTTTTCAGAGCTGGAAGTAGCAGAATTGCACAGAAGAATCAAAGAGGCTTTTGAAGTGTTTGATCATGAGGCGAACAATACAGTGGATGTGAGGTTCGGAAATATTTTCTTTGCTCTCATTCTGGATTAGTGATAGAACTCATAAATGGAAGAGGCCTCTTTCGTCTCCTTTTTACGTCCCTTGGATTAGCATGTTAATTAAAGTATTTATTTTGCTGTGCCCTATAAAGGATCTTTTTGCTAACTGTTGTTTCATATCAATACTCTTTCCCATTCTTTGTAGTCTGCTGAAAAGAATGTATCTGCATTGCCTGTTCCAACCTATTGACGCTCACTTCTGTGAGTCAGATAAACGGCACTGTAGCTTTAGTGTTAGACACAAATTTGGTGTTCAGTAAATTTTTGTAGAGTCAATGAACAGTATTTTCTTTTAAAATAAATCGGTATGTGTTATCAAACCATGAGTGGGGTACGACACAGAAAGATTAACAATGCTTAAGCAATGACCTATTTCCCAAGTAAAACAATGAAAAGAACCAAAACAAAAGAATATAAGATGATGAAAGACATGAATAGTGGTAGACTAAGAATTGAGGACGGGAAGCAAAGAATAGGTTGACATCAGAGAGCAAAATGAAGGCAAGAGGTCAGCACGTCACCATTCTTCTGCTGTCCCTTCCCCTTACCTCTGCTTTGCACTCGGGGAAGAGTTAGCGGAAGCTCTGTCACAGTAGACAGTGGGGCGGGGTGTCTGGTGCTGTGACTGCCCGGCAGCCGGTGGGTTTCCTCAATACGTACAACACTATGAACTGAGCCTGCTGCTCCCCACCGGTCTGCCTGGGGCTGCCTGGGGCTGCCTGGGGTCTGGAATTGGACCGCCTGGTTCCAGCCCTGGCCTGCGGCGGCCAGTGACTCACTCATTCCCCCTGCGCCCAAGTTCCACGTTCGCCTCACGGGCCTGGTGAGAGTACGCGGTGCTCCCAGCGCGGTCTGGAGACCTCTTGTGTCCCAGGGTCCCTTTCGGGGTCTGTGAAGTCGGAACTATTTTTATAATAAGTCAAAGACAGTATTTGCTATTTTCATTCTCATTTTTTCACAATGCGTATTGGAGTTTTGAAAAAGCCACATGATGTGTGATATTGCAGCAGATTGATTGCAGAACCCGACAGGGGAGTCCAGCTGTCTTCTGTGAAGCCAGACGTGAAAGAGATTTGCGAACATATAAAGCACATAAATAACCTTAATATATTAAATTAATCTCCCATCAGTGGATATTTAGGTTGTTAGGATATTTAGGACTTTTGCTATAATAGTCCATGTCGCTGAGCATATCTTGGTGTGCATGTTCTTTTGCAAAAGTAAGAATTTTTCTCTAGAATAAATTAATTCTTGGAAATATGTCGAGGCACGTGAAGGTTTTTGGTAGGTGTTGCTGTCTTCGCAGTAGTCTCTCACTGCGTTACCTGAGCCTGCCTGTCCCCCACTCCCTCTCACACAGACTTTGAAGTCAAATGTCAAGATTTTTGCTAATCTGATATGTGAGAAACAGGAACCTATGTTAAATTTCATTTTTGTAATTATGGGCATCTTTTCATATGTCTACAAGTGACTGTATTTCCTTTTGTTTGAACGGGAAGTTCATGATCTCTCCCCATTTTCCCCATTGAATTGTTTATCTTTTTATACATTAAAGATCTTGGCCTCAGTCTGTGAAATGTATGCCATCTGTCTTTTGACTGTTTTTACTTTCTGATATTCAGAAGTTAAAAAAAAATAGTCAAATTACACATTTCTTGAGTGTGGATTTAATTTTTAGAAACAAACCGAAGTCATTGGAGTGGTTTTAATAGAATAAATTAAAGTTACCCAGCATCGAGATTGTTTGATAAAAAATAAAAAGCATATAAATACCTCTAAAAGTAAAGAATACCTCTAAAGTGAAAAAGCTAATTAGCTCATACATTTAATTTGAAAGTCACTCAAATTGTATTCACAAAAGTGTAGTTTTTTATAATCTGTTTTTTAAAAAGAAATCTTTGGTATTAGCGGAATAAATATGCTCTAGAAGTCAGTAGGGTCCATTGCTGGCTCCATCATTGATTTTTTTTTATGTGCTACTCTCTTATTATGTCATTTTCCTTCTCTATAAAATCTAAATAATAATACCTCATCACATAAGACACAGGAATATTTAAGGTTTCAAGTGAAAGAATATGAACAAGGTTTGAAAAGTATATAAGATGAGACCAATTTATGTGTTCCTTAACGACCCATTCTAACCAGTTGCAGAACAGATGGATGCTTGGGAACCTGGTGAGCGAGATGGCGTGGGGCCTGATTCTGGAACCCAGGGGCCGGTCTTTCCCTCTCCCCAGCCACGTCTGCCTGTGTTGCGGTGGTCTTCTTACCAGCATTCCAGACTGTCCAGTGTCTACTCTACACCCGCCTCGCCTGCGGGAGGTTTTCCCTGAGGTTTTCTGAGTCATGAGGCAGTGCGTGCAGTCCCGCAGCTCCCGGTATTGTCTTGTTAATGCGGAGTCTCCTTTTTCTTTGCTTCCAGTCAGCTCGGCCTATCTCTGGGGCACACACCACCCAGTATTCGTCTGTCTCGCTGTTAAGGAGACTTCAGTTTCTTAAGCAATGGGCAGGGACTTTCAGTATTTTATGTCTTGTCTAAAATTCAATAAGATGTAGGTAATGAGAACCTTTTGGTAATATATTAGAAATAACTCTTCCTAAGAGGACTGAGGTTCCATAAATAATACTTCTATTTTTCACATTTAATACTATTGTTGAAGGTAAGTGAATAAACATTGTATAATTCACTTTTATCAGGTAGTAAAGAGTCTGAGTAGTGTGGAGAAATTGTTTGGACAGTTTCCCCAAACAATTATGAGAAGGTTTAAGGCTACTCAGGGGGCTTTTGAAAAATGACATAGGTAAATGGGTCTGCATTGTGCAATGGAAAACATATTATAAATTACAAAAGAGGAATGGGATTGTTGGACCCATAGACTCCTTGGTAGGGAAGAAATTCTAAAACCTGAGGTTTATTCATGCAATGATATTTCACACTTATGAATGAAAGGAATGATGAACTGTGACTACGTGTGTAACTTAGATAAATTTCAGAAAAATGTTGAATTATAAAACTTCAAAAGGAAGAAAACATTATATATAAATTTTCAACACACAGATTAATCATATCTTTGTTTATGAATCCAAAGACATCCAGGGCCCCGGTCTACATTATCCTCAGAACAGTGGCTGCATCTGTGGACGGGGGGAGGGGTGGAGAGTGGGGCTTTAGCTGTTTCTGCAGTGTTTTATTGTCAAGGTAGAAGTCTGAAGCCAGTGTGGCAAAATATTAGTGTCTGCTAAATGTTGGCATTAGATATATTACTGTTATATTTTTTCTGTACTTTTCTGAAATATTTCACAATTACACAGAAATAAATATTTTTAAAGAGTGGTTTACATCTTGTCTTTTCACCATCTTGCTTTCCAGTTGCTTTGTAAAAAATCGATTTGCTTGTAATAGCCTTTTTAATGTACTGTGATTAAAAGAATAACAAAGTTTAAAAAAATCATCCAAAATCCTATCTCCTGAAATAACAATTGTTAATGTTAGAGAACCATCACTGTAGAGCTCTTTATATCCACAGGTAATAGGACACATGGATAGAAAGAGAGGGAATTAGTAAGAGAGGAAGAAGGAGAAAGGAAAGAAAGGAAAAAGGAAGAAATTATGGAAGAAAAAATTCTAGACAGCAGGGTGTGGCAAAAGTAAGTTTTCAGTTGTGAGTATGCAAAATTCGGAGTTTCCTCCGGTATTATTATTCATTAATTATTGTATTATTTCCCACAGGAACAACTGTGGTATAGAATTTCTGAAAGGGCAGGAGTCTGTCTGTTCTGTTTACTGCTGTATTTTCAGCAACTACAACTGTGTTTGTGCCACAGTAGGTGCCCAATAAATATTTATCAAATGAATGAAGGAAGAGACTATCCTATAAAAATCAGATCATCATAGTCATACCTTTTAAAAGTAAAAAACATAAGCCCTGGCTGGCGTAGCTCAGTGGATTGAGCACGGGCTGGGAACCAAAGTGTCCTAGGTTCGATTCCCAGCCAGGGTACATTCCTGGGTTGCAGGCCATAACCCCCAGCAACCGCACATTGATGTTTCTCTCTCTCTCTCTCTCTCTCTCTCTCTCTCTCTCTCCCCCTCCCTCCCTTCCCTCCCCAAAAATAAATAAATAAAATCTTTAAAAAAAAAAAAGTAAAAAACATTATCCTGACCGGGTAGCTCAGCTGGTTAGTGTCATCCTGATGTGCCAAGGTCGTGGGTTTGATCCCTGGTACGTACAGAAATGAACCAGTGAATGCATCAGTGAGTGGAACAACAGATAGATGTTTCTCTTTCTCTTCCTCTCTCTCTCAAATCAGTCAAAAAATTAATTGTATTAAATGAAGTTCAGTTAAAGAATTTGTGGAATCTCATATGTTTGTTGGCTGTGAGAGACATTATTTATTTTAAATTCAGAAAAGATAATGAGAAAAACATTAAGGTTATAATCTGTGTGTTTTAAAAAAATGTCCCGTTTCACAAGCCAGGCAGTGAAAGACAAATACCATATGATCTCACCTTTAACAGGAACCTAAACAACTAAACAAAGAAACAAGCAAAATATAACCAAAGACACTGAAATAGAGGACAGGCTGATGGTGACCGGAGGGGAGAGAAGAGGGAATTTAAGGGGACAGTGGGAAGGGTTCACAGGAACAAACTTAAACGACACATGGATAAAAACTAGGGGGAGGGTGGTAATGGGAGGGAAGTGGGGAGGGTGGGAGGGGGGACTGGATTGGGAGTAAAAAGGAGAAAACTGTATTTGAACAATGATTAAAAAAATAATAATAAAAAATAAAAAATAAAAGAATGAGCATGTATAAAAAAGAAAAACAAAACAAAACAAAACAAAAAAAGTCCCATTTCAAATATAAAATGTGTCAATTGACTCCTTGCCATGAAAGATACAGACATTAGCACTTAAAAAATTCCTTCCACTTTTTTCTTTTAATTCTTTAAT